AAACGGGCTAAAAAGTAGACAGCACCCGGACTTCCCCGGTGGTCACCCACCCGAGTACTACCCGAGCTTGAGGCTGCTTAACTTCACAGAGCAGACGGGATATGGTGCTTTCAGCCTAAGATGGCCGTCTACATTTGACTTTGACCGACACGCCTATTAGTGTCTATCATTCGTATACATTGGTACAACACATTTACACACTCACATGTCCACATACGTGGCCATAGACTGCACACGATGGCCCCCAATACCCCTTCTGGCCCTCAGAATTGGCTGGGTGGATGGCTACACTTTATATAGTAACAAAACAAAAAGGGGGGTGGTGTGGCGCACTCCAATACAAACGTGTGGCCAGCAGCTCACTCCTACAACGCAGCATACGTATTCTCTCCGATAGGAACCCCACACAGACCGACACCTTCATACACAGCAGTGCAGATAGCCGCCGCACCCCATATTTGCGCATACGCGGCCTGGAAACAATGTTAAACCACCAAAGTGGCCATTTACGACTTGCACAACCATACCTACGCTTCCTATGCGACATGACATGTGCACGTACGCGTCTTAGGCAATATGAACACCTTCGACACCTTCATACATGCACAGCGCGCGCTCCGCTTAAGTACGACACTAACTTGTCATATACATCATGCGTTTCCTCCCGTCACCTTTCATCACCTCCATATTCACACCCATGCGCCGTCACCTTCCTCGCGCCATCACCTTCACCATTTTCACCTCCATATCCGCGCTTCCTCCGCCGTCACCTTCCGCGTACGCGTCCATATTCGCTGCGTTTCCTCGCGCTTCCTGCCTGTTATTATCCAAGCCAAAAACATCTCCAAACCCATACATTAGAACAGCAAACAACTTCGCATTTTTCACAAAGTCCTCAGCTTCATTTGCATACTTATATCTGAGTCTATTTCAGCATATTCGCCTCTCTTTAAACTTACTTAAAATAGATTTAAATTCCGCTTATCTTGGTCTCTCTCTAACCTAACTAAACCCAGTTTAATTTCGCGTATTTTCGGCTCTCTTTAAACTTACCTTAAACCCAGGTTAATTTCACGCTATTTCCTCTCTCTTTTAACAAACATAGATACACCAAGTCTATTTCATGCTATTCCGCTCTCTTTAACATAGTTAAACCAAGTCTAATTCACGCTATTTCGCTATCTTTTAACATAGTTAAACCTAGTCTATTTCATGCTATTCCGCTCTCTTTAACATACTTAAACCAAGTCTAATTCACGCTATTTCGCTCTCTTTTAACATACTTAAACCAAGTCTATTTCATGCTATTCCGCTCGTTTTAACATAGTTAAACCAAGTCTATTTTATGCTATTCCGCTCTCTTTAACATAGTTAAACCAAGTCTAATTTACGCTATTTCGCTCTCTTTTAACATAGTTATAATCAAGCCAGTCTATATTTACGCTATTTCGCTCTCCTTTTAAACACACTTCAAACCCAGTTCTAATTTTATGTCTAATTCGCCTCTCTTTAAACATAGTTAAACCAAGTCTAATTCATGCTATTCCGCTTTTTTTAACATAGTTAAACCAGGTCTAATTCACGCTATTCGCTCTCTTTTAACATACTTAAACCAAGTCTAATTTTACGCCCTGCCGTCTAGCTTGCCCTGTTAAACCCCCATACTAAAATCTCCGATTTTGGCTCAGAAATCATTAGCGCTGGCACTTAGCGATTTTCACGCAAAGTGTTTCTCGCTTTCTGCCTGTTATAAACCCGATACTAAGGGTCGCCGAATTTGGCTCGGAAAACAATAGCAGCGGCACTTAGCGATTTTTGCGAACAAACCTCACTAAGCCAAAACAAAGACTTTGACGATCTTAAGCTTAACAGTATTAACTCTCTACCAGCACTTTGACCGGTTACTCTCGCCGCCCCATAGCGAAAGTAAATCACTTTAACGCAGCCTTATTTCGACTGCTTAACTTTATAGTTTTAACATTGCGCGTTTGCAATTGGGGGGAGAAATGTTCATTTCTGAACAAATCAATAGAACAAGGGCTAAATCTCAGCAGATCGTAGTACAAGACTACTCTCATGCTTACAACACCCCGTTCTGTAGTTAAGTCGTCTACAAAGGATTTATCTTTCCCAATATTTGAAATTACAAATCAGCCTACTCTCCACCGCCAGTACTTGACAGGCAGCGGAGTGCGTTGCAATTGTATGATGTTGGGTGTCCAGAAGACACCTATCGCTATTCGCGGCACATCGGGAAAGGTGATTATCGTCTATTCCAGCATGGATTCTGACTTAGAGGCGTTCAGCCATAATCCTACAGATGGTAGCTTGGCGGCACTAGCTTTTCAGCTAACCGCAGTTACCAATTATCTGAACCAACGGTTCCTCTCGTACTGGGTTGGATTACTGTTTAGACAACGAACTCATCAGTAGGGTAAAACTAACCTGTCTCACGACGGTCTAAACCCAGCTCACGTTCCCTATTAGTGGGTGAACAATCCAACAATTGGCGAGTTCTACTTCGCAATGATAAGAGAGAGCCGACATCGAAGAATCAAAAAGCAACGTCGCTATG